AAAAAAAAAAAAAAAAAAAAAAAAAAAAAGCAGCAGCTTCTCAGTGTAAAGTTAGTGGAAAAGTCATTGTTACGAAAATATCCCTCCCTATTTAAAAAAGCCTTAACACACCAGCAGCCCTGACTTAAACACCAGCATGTCCAAACTGGAATGTGTATCCTCAATATGGAAAGACCTTCAGTGTAAACCCAAGTCCCATGAAACAGCAGATAAGCCATCCTGCAGAGGACTTGCATGAGAGTAAAGACTGTGGCAAAATCTTCAGATACTGCATCTTGTCAGACATCAGAGAAGTCTTGTGGATATCTTCAGTGTGGAAGGCCTTCTGTGTGAGCTCAGTATTATTGAACATAAGTAAATTCATTTTGGACAAGAGCCTTATCTAAATTTGTGGGTGTAGCAAAGTCTCACAGTGCTGTGACAGCCTTATTAAGCATCAGAGAATCTGTACTGGAGAAAAATCCTATAGATCCGAAGAAGATAATAAAAGGTTCATTGTGGTTCAGCTCTGGTCACCCACCAGAGAATCCACACCAGAGAGCAGCACCATTATGAATGTAGTATGTGAGGGAAGGCCTTTTTTTGGAAGCTAGGACTTACCAATCATCAGAGTACCCATGCTGGAGAGAAAATTTATAAATGTAAAAATGTAGGAAGGCCTTCACCAAAAGCTCAGTCTTATGCATCAGAAAATCCACACTGGAACAAAACTGTATACACATGACCACCATAGTGTTAGCTCATTACTTAAAGGGCGTCAGGATTCCCATATGGGGAAAAGCTGTTTGTAAATTATATGGGAAAACCTTCAGTCAAAGTTCAGATCTTATCCAGCATCAGAGTCCTCACTAGATGGAAGCCTTATGACTTGGACAAATGTAAGAAACATTTTGATAAACCCACCGTTTACTAAGCAACAGAGGATACACAACAAAAATGCACCTCAATAATCAAATATGTGGTAAAGAGATAGAGGAATTTTTCAGCATCACTTGTTATGATTAAATAGGAGTAGTAACAATGAAAATTTCAAAAAAAAAAAAAGACTAAATGCATATAATCACTTTAGCATTATTTTGTGGAATTAAAGATAAATATTATTAGAAAAAGATTGTCATGTCACTTAATGGGCAAAGTTGAGGAATTAAACTTCTGTGACCAGTCTCTATGGATATTTAACTGTCTTTGATACTGTTAACTTTTTATTTTCTGTAGTAAAGGTAGAGAGTAAAGGTAAGTCTTTATAACTAATCACATAACTATAACCTAGATAATCCAAACATTATTGACTATGTTGTTGTTTGTTTGGAATTCATAATACTCATTAAAATTTTTCTAAGAATGATTTTGACATTTATTCCTGAGACCCAATAAGTGTATCACTTCTTCCAGACTTACTCCCTTTTATTTTTTATGATGTTAGTGTCAGAAATGATGGAAATAAATGTGTATTTTGGCAAATCATTTCCCAAAATTTCCTATTCCTTTGTTTAAAAAAAAAAAAAAAAAGATGTAGAAATGTGAATAGTCTGTGTGAACCTGCAATATGCTGAGCAACAGGCCTTGTTGCCCTCGTTTAATCAGTTTGTGTCCCTAGTATACAAAATAATGACTGATACAGAAAAAGCCCTTAAAACATGCTTGTTGAATGACTGCTCCAGGGGTTCTGTTTGTGGGTTGGCTCAATCCAGCTTACAGAGGGGCCTCTAATTAAGTTTGCCATAGGATTCTACCCTCTTCCCAGACCTGATCAGTGAATAACTTCAGGTGCTCAGTGTGGACTGATTATGAACTCACTGCATGGCACATCGTAATCTTTGGTCCGTGTGACCTTGCTTTCATTCCTACACACTTTTTCTCCATTCCTTTCATCCCAATCCTATTTCTCCCATCCTTAAATACTTAATTTACAAAATTGGTCTTGTGTTAATAAGTATCATTCTATGCCATTCTACTTTTTGAGATTTATTCGTGTTGATATATGAAGGTCTAGTTCACCCCTTTAATTGCTGTACAGTGATTGAATGTATTGATTCATTCCTCTAATGAAGGTCATTTTAAACAACTCTTTATAATAAAACAGTCTTGCTCTGAACACCTTTGGGAGTGTTTTTCTGAGGAACATACAAAGGAGCCAATTGCTGGGTCACAAGTATTTACAGTGTCAATATCACTAGAATGTAATGATTTCTGTTCTTTGTGAACTAAGAAACTGTCTGGCATCTTAGCCTTATCATGATAGCCTCTTTTCTGCAGGGACTTCTGAGAGCAACTGTCACTTAACACAAATTTATGATACAATCCTGGGAATTAGAAGTGCAAAATGCGTATTACTGGGCTAAAATTTTTTTTTTTTTTTCGGAGCAGAAGAACTTGAAGGGTAAAATCAAGATGTCAGCAGAGATGCATTCATTTAGGGGACTTAATGGGGAGAGTCTGTTTTATTGTCTTTTCCAGGTTCCAGGGGTTTTTCATGTCCCTTAGCCCTATTTCTCCATCTTTAAAGCCAACATTGAGCTGAATCTTTCTCACATCATATTATTCCACGTTTTCTTTGGTTTCTCTTCTTCTACTTTTAAGGATACTTGTAGTTACACTGGACCTACACAGATAATATAAGATAATCTCCCTATTTTAAGGTCAGGTGATAGGGAACCTTAAACTTTCCTCTTGCCATATAACATCATAGTCACAGATTCTGGAGATTAGGACATAGACATATTTGGGTGGGTGGGGAAATTTCTGCCTACTACATTAGCCTAGGCTAAAAATGTGCCCCCCATGGTTTGGTTTCTAGTTAGAGTTGCCTTCTTGTTATTTACTCACATGGGAAAGAGAATGAGAAAGTTATTTGGTGTCTCTTATAAGGGTAGTAATCCCATTATGAGTGCCCCACCATCATGACCTCATCTAACCCTAGTTACTTCCCAATGCCATCCCAGTGGAATTTAGGACTTCAATATGCGAATGGGAGCAGGGACAAAAACATTCAGTTCATAACAGCATGTAATGGGAATACCATAGGAGAAGAGAAAAAGGAACAGAAGAAATATTTGAAGCAATAATGACTGAAATTTTTCCAAAGTTAAACACCAAGCCACAGATACAGGAAGCTCAAGAGAATATGAAGCAGAATAAACAAAACATCTACACCTAGGCATATAATATTCAAACTGCAGAAAATCAGAGGAATAAAATCTTAAGCTAAAGGAAAAATTACTTTACCTATATAGGAGCCAGGATGAGAATTACGTTGGCCTTCTCTTCAGAAAGCATGCAAGCAAGAAAAGAGTGGAGTGAAATATTTAAAATGTTGAAAAAAAACTCACCAATCTAAAATTCTATATTCAGCAAAATTATCCTTCAAAAGTGAAAGAAAAAAAATACTTCCTCAGACAAAAAGTGGGAGAATTTGTCACCCATAAACATAATTTGCAGGAAATGTTAAAAGTTCTTTGGAAAGAAGAATAATGATACAGATCGGAAATTGTGATGCGCATAAAAAAAGAGCTTTAGAGATGGAATAAATGAAGATAAAATTTTATTCTTAGCTGATCTGACATAACAGTTTGTTCAAAATAATAGCAACATATTTGATGATTACAGTTAGGTGAAATCAGTGACAGCAATGTTACGAGGAACAAAAGGGAAGAATTGGAAATATTCTATTATAAAGCATATGCACTACCCGTAAAGTATGTAAATGGATTTGGATTTGTTGTAAAAGTGTATTGGAAACTGCAGAACAACCACTAAAAAAAGAAAAGAATAATTGACATACTAAGAAAGGAGGAAAAATTGAGTCAGATAAAATGCTCAGTTAAAACCAGAGAAGATAGATGAACAGTGGAAAACAAAAATAGAAATAGCAAGAACAATGAATTAGAAAAACGTAACAAATATGGTAGATATTAATCCCACTATATCAGTGATCACCTTAAATATCAGTGGTCTATATACACCATTAAAAAAAGACTTAGATCAAAAAATAACACTCAACTATATGTTGTCTTCAAGTAACTCTTTAAGTATGAAGACATGATAGATTAAAGGGATGAAGAAAGATACACCATAATAGCACTAATCTAAAGAATAATAGAGTGCTATGTTAACTTCAATACTAAGTCAATTTTGGAGCAAGAAAAATTATCGGGGCCAAAGAGGGGCATCACATAATCATAAGAGAGTCAGTTTCTCCAAAAAAGAACAATTCTTGATGTATATTCACCTAACAACAGCATCAAAATATATGAAGCAAAAACTGATAAAATCACAAGAATAAATAAATGAATCCACTATTATAGTTGTACTCTTTAATATACCTCTATCAGTAAATGACAGATCCAGCAGGCAAAAAAATCAGTGAGAATATAATTGAACAGCAGTAGATGTCAAGTGGAACTAGTTGACATCTTTTTTTTTTTTTTT